AAAAAACAAAAAAACTTGACTATTTCCCTTTTCCCAGTGAAGGGATCCATTAAATGTTAGAAGCTTCCCTGCTTAAAGGAGTTACATAGTTGATTCATTCAATGACTGAGTTTAAAGAAGTTACATAGTTGATTCATTCAATAACTGAGTGTCTACTATGTGCAAACTACAATCTTAATGCAAAGACACACTAAGGAAGTAAAACAAAAGAAAGTAAAAATTTTACTTTCTTAGTGTGTCTTTGCATTAAGACTGTAGTTTCCAACTTACTATGTATTTTTTTCTTTTCTTTTATATTTTTTTAATTTTTACTTTTTTCATATTTGTAACTTGTTTGCAGCATGTAACTGTATATAAGGTAGTATGTTTTACACACTTGATCTCCTTTTTCTTTTTAAAGAGACAGGTCTCACTGGGTCATCCAGGCAGAAGGGCAGCAATCACAACTCAGTGCAGCCTTGAACTCCTGGGCTGAAGGGATCTTCCTGCCTCAGCCTCCCAGTAGCTGGGACCACAGGTACATGGCATCATGCCTGGCTAATTTTTTTTAATTCTTTTTAGGGTCTCACTATATTGCCCAGGCTGGTCTCAAACTCCTGGTCTCAAGTGATCCTCATCCTTCACTGATCTTTTAAGCTTCACATCTCCCTGATAGATGAGAAAACAGAAGTTAAATCACTTCATCAAAATCCTGCACCCAACCAGGTGTGGTGGCACATGCCTGTAATCCCAGCTCCTCAGGAGACTGAGGCAGGAGTTTCAGGCTACTGTCAACTATGATCTGTGAACAGCCACTGCATTTCAGACTGGGCAACAGAACAAGACCTATCTCTTAAAAGATCAATTAATTTAAAAATACAAAGAAATAAAAAATGTCCTTAAACACTATCTTGTCAGTCACACAAAACATGCCAATTAGAAGATAACATTCTAATAGTCACAAAGAAAACAAAGAAAAATCATAACCCAGTATCAGCAAGATATAGGCCTGAATTTGGCACAAAGCAGGCAATTAGTGAACATCTGCTACACAAAAAAGTAAACGTGTAACATTTGAAACCTACAAGATTCTTTGGGTTCAGTAAATCTTTTTTTAAAAAAAAAAATCATTAAGAACCATAAAGATGTTTAAATCCCTTTCCCCGGCAAATGTACCAAGAATTCATCACAAGATTAATTAAAAATAAAAATATGCATATGTAAGATACACATATAATTTGCTTCTTCTAACAGCAAAGAATAACAGACTGAAACAGCTGAAAAGTACATATAAATTAGTAAACATAGCATGCGGGGGATGCAAATTAAACTGTTAATAAAAATCATGAAACTATAAGAACACACATGTTGGCTGGGTGAGGTGGCTCACGCCTATGATCCTGACACTTTGAGAGACCGAGGCAGGAGGACCTCATGAAGCCAGGAGTTTGAAATCAGCCAGGGCACCATAGTGAGATTTTGTCTCTACAAAATTTTGTGTGTTTGTGTGTGAGACAGAGTCTCACTATGTTGCCTAGGCTGATCTCGAACTCCGGGGCTCAAGCAATCCTCCTGCCTCAGCCTTCCAAAATGTTGGGATTACAGGTGTGAACCACTATGCCCAGTCTCTACAAAAAAAAAAAATTTTTTTTTTTTTTTTTTAATCAGCCAGGCATGGTGGCTTATGCCTATAGTCCGAGTTACTTGGAAACCCGAGATGGGAGAAACACTTGAACCCAGGAATTTGAGGCTGCAGTGAGCAATGACTGTGCCACTGTACTCCAGGCTGGGTAACAGAGGGGACTTCATCTCTTTAAAAAGAAAAAAAGACAAACATGTCATAGTGCATAAGGAATTTGAAAAGACCCACAAATATTAGTAGGTCTTAGAATTATATGGACTTACTGTTTTAAAATCAGCAAAAAACAGTTTACAATAATAACTGATGGATATTATTCACCAATCATTGATACCTAAACCTACCTGGTATGGGATTTGGGGTCTTTTGAAAAGTTTCACCTACACCACTTAAGGGTCCCTCTGACCAATAAAGGACAGGACTGTAATGACAGCCCACTGGACAACATGAGTGATGTCCTACATAAATAGAAATCCGAGCTGAGTGTGAAGAATGGGCAGGTGCATGATACACAGCATGCTTCACACCTGATAGCACAGGCATCACAAGGGCAAGATGTTAAATGATGCTCTATGACTACAGCTCTACAACCAGTTTTCATTCACCTTAGCAAAGTTCTCCTCATACCAAGGTTGTAAGCCAATTATTAACTTTTTCTTGATACCAGCAAACAATGACAAGGGAAAAAAAATACAGGTATTTTTGGTTCCATACATGTCTTTCAAGACAAATCCAAACATCTGATTCCCAAGGTCATGTTGGGAAGTCAAGAACATCAGAGAACAACTTCAGACTGAGTTTCCATGAGTAAGAACTTTCCAAGGGGATTTTCTTATATTCTTACCCGGGCTTCGAATTCTGATGTTTCTTCCACATATCCAAGTCCTCCTTTTTGTAACCTTGTTGCAACTTCAATGAGATCACTGCGAAGAAAGTTTAAAAGCTCCTGGTTGCCATCACAGGATTTTAGGCCCAAATTTGGCTTCCGAGCTAGATGAATAGAATGAATAATGTCCTGGTACCTAGAAGAGTTGGGACAAGAGAAAAGGGGAAGAAACAAACTTTTGAAGATGTACCTTAAATTTCAATTACTTGAAAAACATGTTTTATTTCTAGACAACTTACTTAGGTCTCTTTTACCTCTCCTTGTTTTGTTTTGTTTTTCATTATTTCTTTATTTTTCTCTGAGACAGGGTCTTGCCCTATCACCCAGGCTGGAATGCAAAGGTGCCACCACAACTCACTGCACCCTCAAACTTCTACTTAGGCAATCCTCCCACCTGAGTCAAAAGTGGGACTACAGGCATGCACCTCCACACCCGGCTATTTTTATTTTTTTTAGGAATGGGGTCTTGCTATGTTGTCCAGGTTGATCTCAAACTCCTGATTTCAAATGATCCTCTCCCCTAGGCCTCCCAAACTGCTGGGATTACAGGTGTGCGCCATCACACCAAGCTACTTCTAAGCTTCTAATGGAAGGATTCAATCTTCATATTTAGTGAACAAAACAGGTCCTTTCAATTGAACACACGTACGTATCTAATATTCTGCCCAAAGAGAAGGAACATCATAGAACTATATTCCTTTGTGGATCTGTGTACTGACATTTTCCTTTGTTTTTCTTAATTTGCCTAGACATGTATATTCAGACAACATGATTCTGAATGCAATTTTACTTAATTTACACATTAAGCAGTGGACTAACATCAATATAATGTACCTATTTTCCTTCGCAAAGTCTGGCAATGGAGTAGAGTATGTACTGAACCATATTTTCCTTCTCTCTTCCATCAAACCTAAATTCAACCATGAAATTGAGCACAGAGTCAGAAATGAGAGGTGGCATTAAGCCAAAATCTTGTCCTGGCTTTGATAAAAATAATGTCTACAACAAATATGGCAGCTGCAAATTTAGATGGAGTTGATGCTACTGTGTAGACAGAAGACGGTTTTTTGGTTCTTTTTAATTCATATGGCATAAAATTCACCAACTTGAAGCATGTCCTTCGGTGGTTTTTATGTTGCAGAACCACCACAACTATCTAATTCCAAAACATTTCATCGCCCCAAGCAAAAATCTCTTACCTGTTAGCAATCATCACTCCCAATTCTCCTCTTCCTCTATCCTCTGGCAACCACTAATCCACTTTCTGTTTGAAACAGATTTTCCTATTCTTGATGTCTCATTGAATGGAATCATACACCACATGGACTGTGATGTCTGACCTCTTTCACTTAACATAATGTTTTCTAGATTCATCCAAGCTGTAGCACAGAACAGTACTTCATTTCTTTTTGTGGCTAAATAACATTCCACTGTTTGAAAATACTAAATTTTGGGAGTTTTTTGTTTCATTTTGTTTGAGACAGTGTCTAGCTCTGTCACCCAGGCCAGGCCAAGCCAGAGTGCAGGGGCATGATCTTGGCTCAATGCAACCTCTGCCTCCCGGGCTCCAGTGATCAACTCAGTTCAGCCTCCCAAACAGCTAAGACTACAAACACAAACCACCACACCCAGCTAATTTTTTTATTTTCTGTAGAAACAGTTTCCCTATATTGCCCAGGCTGGTCTCAAAACTCCTGGATTCAAGACATTGGCCTGCCTTGACCTCTCAGAGTGCTGGGATTATAGGTGTGAGCCACCACACTAGGCCTGGATATGTACTAAGTTTTGTTTATCGATCCCATCAGTTGATGGGCACTGCCATTGTTTCCATCTTTTGACAGAACACTTCTGGACACCTATCCATCTGGGCCTGCATCTACAAGGCTGTCTAACAACCATGAAGCTCACGGCTTGGTACTGGCACGTAATCTTTAGTGCATAATTCTGCTACTCTGTATACAGATGGCCAAAGGTATATTTTTCCAATAAGCATAGTGTGACAAGAAAATACCAGGCAATATGAACAAAAAACGGTTACACACATTTAAAATATTTTACTTTAATAACTTTAATGAGTAAGGGGGAAAAAACCCTCATATATTTATATCTAATGCTAAAGAGAAGATGAAACCCCTTACCTCTTCTCTAGTCTCTCTTTAAGTTGACTTTCTCTTATTCCCTGAGGGTGAAGACAGTTTAGCAACTCATCCAGCTCCTTTTGACTATCACATAAAAACCTGTAGGGGCAAAACAGACCTGAAAACTCTGAAAAAAACAAAAACAAACTCAAACACTAAGCAAGTGATCTAGAGCTGGTGGTGGGACTTAGGAGAACAAATTCCAAATGTGTTCAAAGTCTAATATCCAGAAGTAGAATAAGTGATTTACTATTTCCATGATGCCTAATGTTAATTCTGTCCTAGGACTTTGGAGCCAAAGTTAATTGGCATACTTGTCCCTTTCCCTTCAGAGAGTAAACCTATACCCAAAAGTCAAAACTGAAAGGCCATTAAACTACAGGTGATCACATAGAACAGATCCTCTCAAAACCAAGCTTGCTGCCTAAAAGCAGAGTTGCATACAAGGAAATGATGCATACCATTTTTATTAATAAAATTTAATTAAGGAAAATCTTAAATACCTCTATTCCCAACCATATTTAAGCTACATTTCTACTGCTTTGTAAGATCTATCACATAATATACAAAGTTATATTATGAGGGGAAAAAACCAAAATTCCAACCCTTAAAAAAACAAGTATCACCTTAACAAAAAAAAATCAGTTCTGCTAATCCAAGAAGTTTTGATATCCAAAATATCAAAGTCACACAAAGCATCCTGATCACATAATTATTAACTCGCTGGCATCACCATACCAAAACTTTGTTCCTTAACATTTAAAAGAAAAAGAAAGAGCAACCAGATGAATGCTCACATTACCATAGGTTCTGTCCTTGTTTAGGTGTGGTTGTCTCTACAGCAATTTCTGTTGCTGGTCCATGTTGTGTGTTCATGCTTGCATTTTTACCTAAGTTTGCTTTCTTACCTAAGAAAAATTTAGACATTAGGTTGACTACAGTAAATACCCAGTTGCTAGTTTCAAACCTCAGCCGTACTCACTGCCAAACTCAACAATTTATAACAACACAGGTGCTTCCTGTGAAATTTATCAAACGTATCTTCATGTATAATAGACGCTAGTTTCTCTTAATATCTTAAACACAACATGTTATCTCAGATATTTGCTCTCTGAAGTGGAATCGTTGCACCATTCCGAAGTTTAAGAGTACTGCAACTTAGAATGAAAAATGACTAAATATCTTTATATCAAAGCAAAATAAAGAATTTACTCCTTTTACATGATGTTAAGAGGAAAGGCATCTGTAGTAAAGCAGAGGCAACAAGAATACATAAATACTATAGACTTATCCTTGGAGGTTTCAAGAGTCAAATAATACAACTAACTTTTTTGTAAATCAGTTCCTATACATTGATATATGACTTTAACATAGATATACCTTAAGCCAATTTATCGAAGCCTATTTTAAATCATCACAGTATTTGGTTTTTGTTTTGTTTGTTGAGGTGGAGTCTTGCTCTGTCACCCAGGCTGGTGCACAGTGGTGCAATCTCAGCTCACTGCAACCTCCAGTCTCCCCAGTTCAAGAGATTCTCCCCACCTTAGCCTATTCCGACTAGGCTGGGATTATAGGCATGCACCACCATGCCTGGCTAATTTTTGTACTTTTACTAAAGATGGAGTTTCACTATGTTGGCCAGGCTGGTCTCAAATTCCTAACCTCCACTGATCTGCCCGCCTTGGCCTCCCAAGTGCGGGATTATAAGTGTGAGCCACCACGCCCGGCCAGTCAACACAATACTTGAAGCCTTACTTCATACTATGATTGTTTCTCTTCTCTTCCCCATTCTCTCCACTTTAACCTGAAACATCTCTGAATACTAACATATAAGCTTGTTTAGTCTTTTACGTTGAGTAATTTTATTTTTTGAGACAGAATGTTGCTCTGTCACCCAGGTTGGAGTGCGTGACACAATCTTGGCTCACTGCAACTCCTGCCTCCTGGGCTTAAGCAGTTCTCGTGACTCGGCCTGCCAAGTAGCTAGGACTATAAGCACCCACCACCACACCCAGTTTATTTTTGTATTTTTTGTAGAGATGGGGTTTCGTCATGTTGGCCAGGCTGGTCTTCAACTCCTGAACTCAAGTGATCTGCCTGTCTCAGCCTCTCAAAGTGCTGGGATTACAAGGCACAAGCCATCACACCCAGCCTCAGATGGGTAATTTTAAAAAGAAACTGCCATTCTGGAACTGGAAAACATGACACAAGATCTGCCAGGATGCTCTAGAAGTAAAGGGTCTGGGTTCTCAATCTTCTCTCAGTGCGCTTTAACTGTGTAGACGTTACTTTCAAGAACTGCCACCAGGCTTTTGAAACACCTTATAAAGTAAAACTCCTTCATCCTGCTGGAATCCCTTCCAAATCTAAACATCCAGACTCCACAGATACTGCTCTCAAATGTAACTGCCCTCACCTGAGTATTTATAATGTCTACCAAAACTAGATTTTTCTACTAAGTGACATAATCTATGTTCAATATAATTCAGCATGAAAACACCTTAAATTTGAAGTTTTATTTGAAGGAATGTTTATTTTTGTAAATCAGTAGTATTCTTCTTTAACAATTTTGTGAGTTTCAAGTTTGAGTTAGGAATTTCTCTAAAATGAAAAATTACTTTTAAAAAAAGATTTATCAAAGAAGCACAATAAGGTAGTATTCAGGAATCAATTTTCTTTTTTATCTTTATCTCCCACATGACACCAACACATAAGCAATTTTCATTAGGTTACAGACAGCAGAACTGGAAGGAAGCTTATGGATCATTGACCTAGTGGTTCTCAATGGGCAGCACTACTGCCTGTCAGGGGAAATCTGGCAGGATCTTGAGACATACTTTGTTCTCACTACTACCACCTACTGGCTATGTAGAGGGAAGCTCCTGAATAAACCACAACGCGAAAGACAGCTCCCAGAACAAAAAATTATCTTCCTCATCAGTATCATGGTGGGAGAAAATAAAAAAGATTCATCTGGCCCAAAATGTCAGTAACACTGAGGTTGAGAAAACCAAACCTAACCTAAGCATCTTATTTTTTTAATTAAAATTTGTTTCTGGGTCGGGCGCGGTGGCTCAAGCCTGTAATCCCAGCACTTTGGGAGGCCGAGGCAGGTGGATCACGAGGTCAAGAGATCGAGACCATCCTGGTCAACATGGTGAAACCCCGTCTCTACTAAAAATACAAAAAATTAGCTGGGCATGGTGGCACGTGCCTGTAATCCCAGCGACTCAGGAGGCTGAGGCAGAAGAATTGCCTGAACCCAGGAGACGGAGGTTGCGGTGAGCCGAGATTGCACCACTGCACTCCAGCCTGGGTAACAAGAGCAAAACTCCATCTCAAAAAAAAAAAAAAATTTGTTTCTTTCTTGAAATATACTCAACATACATACTTTAAGAAATAATATGAATATATATTCAGAAAATTATTCAGTGTAGGTTTCGGCTTCCCAAATAGATTCAGCATAAACAATGAATAAATTAACTTTAAAAGTAGAAGAAGAGGGTCAGGCACAGTGGTTCATGCCTGTAATCCCAGCACTCTGGAAGGTCAAGGCAGGCAGATCACCTGAGGTCAGGAGTTCGAGACAAGCTTGGCCAACATGGCAAAACCACTACTAAAAATACAAAAATTAGCCAGGTGTGGTGGCACACAACTGTAGCCCCAGCTACTTGGGAGGCTTAGGCAGAGAATCGCTTGAACCCAAGAGGCAGAAGTTGAAGTGAGCCAAGATTGCGCCATTGCACTCTAGTCTGGGCGGCAAGAGTGATATGCCATCCCAAAAAAAAAGGTAGAAGAGGAGGAAATGTAACACTGCCTTCTTAGCCCCTATACCTCAATTTTAGCCATTCAGGCACCTACGATGGCTTCTAAGGGACTGTTTGAAAACTTCTCCTATAAAATCTAATCCCCAAATACCCTAATATTCAAGCTCTTTATCTTCTCACACTATGCTTAGAACAAAAGTAGTAATCAAATCTGGGCTTCTTTCCTTCTCTCTACACATTTCACATCTACCCACTTCACTCAAACATACCTAAGACCAAAAATAAAGAAATTTTGCAAATGGAAAAGGGGACAGAGAAAAGGCAGTCCTTAACGCTGAGCCCACTTCAGCAGGGTGAAATAACTCACAGATAAACAGAGATACTCACTGCGGGGACAGTAATCCTCATCGGCAGAGTCTGTGTGCTCTTTGCAGTGATGGTTGAATCGGTAGTCAATGCTGTCATGTACCCAACCTTTTTCAATAAATAATCCTGGAACTTCATCAGAGAAGAGCCAGTATCTACAAACCACAACCAGTATTAATAAGACAATCAACAGATCAGAATTGCAGGATAATTTTACTCCTGGAGAAGATAATTACAGAGTGTCACTGAGCATTCAAAACCGCATTTACAGTATTCTTCCTCTTCAGAACTCGACAGATAAAAATTGTAAGGTAAATCAAAGCAAATAAGAAATGTTGAAACTGGAGACTAGTTTAATGTCTGTAATTTTTATGACTTCTCTCTTTTTTTAACAGAAATGGGTGGCTATCAGGCTGGTCTTGAACTCCTAATCTCAAGCAATTCTCCCACCTCAGCCTCCCAAAGTGTTAGGATTACAGGTGTGAGCCACCACAACTAGCCCTAATTTGTGTAACTACTACTATTTCTCCTTCTTTAGGTTTCACAAAATGTATGCATTTAAAACCTACTGCCATTTTTAAAGACTTGGATTTGGATTACACTTCACCTGTCACCATCATGTAAGCTTCCTACTTGTGGTATCTTCAAGGGCAGGAACATTCTCACTCAACTTTGCAACTCTAGCATTTGACACAGTTAATATTCAACAATCATCAACAATTCTGTTTCCAAACAAAATTGGAAAACTGAAGAGAGAAGCTTGTCTATTCTTGTACTTTAGGTAATTTTTGTAACTAATAGCAATGAAAATAGTCCTACAAGAAAACAAAAATTAGGTTTAGGAACTGACCTATTATGGTTTCGATCTGTACCAATAGGGGTCCTACGCATGACTAGTTTGGCCTTGGCAATTCCTTCCTGGAAAGCTTTCTCAGCAGCTGCTTTGTGCCTCCGTATTCGTTCTTCTTCAGCTTGGCGCTCCAGTTTCACTGTTAAAGATAAAAAGACTCAATCAGATATTTTCCTAGTAATTTCCACTCTTTCAAATTAAATATGGAGTAAAATGTGCCTAGTGTATAGTAGTTATCAAATCTTAATTTCCTTTCCCTAATTCTAATCTGTTATTAAGAAATGATATGTGGCCAGGCATGGTGGCTCACTCCTGTGATGCCAGCACTTTGGGAGGCCAATGGTGGCAGATCACGAGGGTCAAGAGATGGAGACCATCCTGGCCAATATGGTGAAACCCTGTCTCCACTAAAACACAAAAATTAGCCGGACATAGTGGCGCACGCCTGTGACCCCAGCTACTCAGGAGGCTGAGGCAGGAGAATCGCCTGAACCTGGGAGGCAGAGGATGAAATGAGCTGAAGTTGCACCACTGCACTCCAGCCTGGTGACAGAGGGACACTCTGTCTCACAAAAAGAAAAAAAAAAAAAAGAAAAGAAATGACATGCATGGCAGCAACTTCTACCTAGTCCTCCTGCACTCCTTGAATTTTGGTGACATCTCATCCCTCAACTCAATGCAAAATCTTTTAGCTCCAAAATATCGCTTTCTTTTTGTTTTAGTTTTTTGAGACAGTCTTGCTGGCTGGAGTGTAGTGGGGCAATCTCGGTTCACTGCAACCTCTGCCTCCCAGGTTCAAGCAATTCTCCTGCCTCAGCCTCCTGAATAGCTGGATTACAGGCACACACCACCACATCCAGCTAATTTTTGCATTTTTAGTAGAGATGGCGTTTCCCCATGTTATCCAGGCTGTTCTCCAACTGACCTCAACTAATCCACCCATCTCGGCCTCCCAAAGTGCTGGGATTACAGATGTGAGCCACCATACCTGGCCAAAATATCACTTAATGTATTTTAAACAATCCTGAAGAAACAGTTAACAGTTCATAAACAGGACTAACTGAAACATCTTCTGGTAGGTGCCACCTACGCGATCCTCAAAAAGATCACGATAAATAAAACTAGTAAAGTTAACTATTTCAAAATAAAATATACTTCAGTCCTGAGGAATCTGACAGTAATTTGGCTTAACAGCCCTGATGACAAGAAAAAAAAACCTGAAAAACAATGGCAGGGGAGTATTTGGGGATAATAATTATTTTACATTGAACACCTATTTTTCTAATTATTCAGCAAGTACCTGTTAATGATAAAAATGTTAATTTATTTCTGATCATTCATTAATTAGGTTTATTCTATTCAGTAGAAATTTCCCTTAACAACAAAAGCAGCCCAATAATTTTGTCTTGTTTTTCCACAATTGTCATAAACCCTGATACCACAGGGTACAGAGCAATGCTATTTACAATGTCAACATTTTAAAAAATGTTTTTTTTTTTTTTTTTTTAAAGACAGGGTCTTACTATGTTTGCCCAAGCTGGTCTCAAACATCCGGGCTCAAGCGATCTTCCTGCTTGGTCTCGAACTCCTGACCTGAGGTGATCCGCCCACCTCGGCCTCCCAAAGTGCTGGGATTACAGGTGTAAGCCACCACTCCTGGCCACAGTTATAGTTTCTTCATAGGTCTGGTTTTTTGTTTTTTTTTTTTTTTGAGGCAGAGTCTCACCCTGTCACCCAGGCTGGAGTGCAATGGTGCAATCTTGGCTCACTGCAACCTCCGCCTCTCTGAAGGGATTCTCCTGTCTCAGCCTCCCGAGTACCTGAGATTACAGGAGCGTGCCACCAAGTCAAGCTAATTTTTTGTATCTTTTAGTACAGACTGGGTTTCACTATGTTGGTCACACTGGTCTCGAACTCCTGACCTGGTGATCTGCCCACCTTGGCTTCCCAAAGTGCTATGGATCACAGGCATGAGCCCCTGTACTTGGCCTCTTCGTAGGTCTTTAAAATGCTAAGTACAATGGCCAGAGACGGTGGCTCACGCCTTTAATCTCAGCACGTTGGTAAGCTGAGGCAGGCAGATCACTTGAGGTCAGAGTATGAGACCAGTCTAGCCAACACGGTGAATCATCATCTCTACCAAAAATACAAAAATTAGCCAGGCATGGTAGCAGACACTTGTTATCCCAGCTACTCAGGAGCTGAGGCACAAGTATAGCTTGAACCTGGGAGGCACAGGTTGCAGTGAGCCAAGACTGCACCACTGCACACCAGCTTGGGTGACAGAGCAACACTCTGCATCTAAATAAATAAAATGTATACATTATATATGTATACTAAGGCACAGTATTACATATATATGCGAAAATATTTCGATGGCCTTAAGCAGTGTAAAGTAAAATCTGTTTAGTTTTCATTAGGAAACATACATTTCCTAATGAAAGAACTCTTCAAGCTGGCTGTGGTGGCTCAGGCCTGTAATCCCACACATTAGAAGGCTGAAGCTGGAAGGTCGTTTGTGTTTCGGGGTTCAATACCAGCCTCCACAAATAATAAAAAGATTAGCCAGGCGTGGTAGCACAAGCCTGTAGTCCCAGCTGCTCAGGAGGCTGAAACAGAAGGATCACTTGAGCCCAAGACGTCAAGGCTGCAGTGAGCTGAGACCGAACTGCTGTACCCCAGTCTCGGTGACAGAATGAGACCTTATCTCAAAAGAAAATAAAATTTAAAAGTAAATGTTGAAAAAGAACAAGCTGGAAGACTCACACTTCCCTATTCTGAACTCATTACAAAGCAAAGTAATCAGACAGTGTGGCATTAACATAAAGACAGACATACAGATCAATGAAATAGAATTCAGAGTCCAAAAATAAGCCAACGTTATCCTAGAGTCACATGATTTTTGACAAACGTGTCAAGGCTATTTCAAAAAAATGACACTGGGACAACTGGATAGCCACATGCAAAAAAAAATAAAGCTGGACTTTTACCTTACACTATAAAAATTAGCGAAAATAAAAGACCTAAATTTAAGAGCTAAAACTGTAAGACATTCCGAAGAAAATAGGAGTAAATCTTCATGACCTTGGATTTGGCAATAGATCCTTAAACCTAACACCAAATCTATGAGCAACAGAAGAATAAATAGATAAAATGAACCTAATCAAATTTAAAAAATATTTGTGCTTCAAATGATACTAGTAAAAAAGTGAAAGGCAGGCTGGGTGTGGTGACTCATGTCTGTGATCCCAGCACTTTGGAAGGCGGGCGGATCACCTGAGGTCAGGAGCTTGAGACCAGCCTGGCCAACATGGTGAATCCCCATTTCTACTAAAAATACAAAATTAGCCAGGCGTAGTGGCGAGTGCCTGTAATCCCAGCTACTCAGGAGGCTGAGGCAAGAGAATCACTTGAACCCGGAAGATTGACGTTGCAGTGAGCAGAGATCACACCACTGTACTACTCCAGCCTAGGCACAAAAAAGCAAAACTCCGTCTCCCAAAAAAAAAGTGAAAGGACAACACACAAAATAGATGAAAATGATCTGTAGACTGGGTATCTAACAGGGAGTTGTATCTAGACTATATAAAGAACTTGTACAACTGAATAAAATGACAACTCAATTTAATAATGGGCAAATGAACTGAATTAGTATTTCTCCAAAGATACACAGGTAGGCAGGAGACACATGAAAAGATGCTCAACATCATTAGCCATCAAGGAAATGCAAATCAAAACCCACAATGGGATACCATTTCACACCCACTAGGATGACTATCATCAAAAAGTCAGAACCTTTAATTCACTGCTGGTGGGCATGTAAAATTGTGCAGCCACTTTGGAAAACCATCTGGCAGTTTCTCAAATGGTTAAACATTACCATATGACCCAACAATCCCATTCCTAGGTATTTAGTCAAGAGAAATGAAAGTGTATGACAACACAAAAACTCATACACAAATGTTTATGGCAGCATTATTCTTAAGAGCCAAAAGATGAAAACAGTCTAAACGTTTATCAAGTGATGAATGATAAACAAAACATGGTATATCTTTTGGGTTTTCTTTTAAAAATGTTTTTGGGCCGGGCACCATGGCTGGCTGGGTGCAGTGGCTCACGCCTGTAATCCCAGCTCTTTGGGAGGTTGAGGCGGGCAGATCACCTGTGGTCAGGACTTCAAGACCAGCCTGGCCAACATGGTGAAATCTCATCTCCATAAAAACACAAAAATTGGCCAGGCATGATGGCATGCACCTGAAATCTCAGCTACTTGAGAGGCTGAGGCAGAAGAATTGTTTGAACTCGAGATGCGGTAGTTGCAGTGAGCCAAGATCACACCATTGCACTCCAGCCTGGGCAACAGAATGAGACTCCATCTCAAAAAAAAAAAAAATGTTTTGGAACTAAATAGAGGTGGTCTATTTTGTGACCGGCTTCTTTCACTTGGCATAATGTTTTCAAGATTCATTCATGCTGTAGTATGCAAAACATTATGCTAAGTGAAAGTCACAAAAGACTACCTATTTATTATACAATTCCATGTACAGAAAACGTCTAGAATAACAAATCTACAGAGACAAAGTAGACTGGTGGTTGCTCAGGGCTGGGGAGGATGGGCAAATGGGGTAATGACCATTCAAGGGTAGGTGGTTTCTGAGATGATAAAATGTTACAAAACTGACTGTGGCAATGGTTGTGCCTTATCTGCGATTCTACTGAAAACACTAAATTATACGCATTAAGTGAACTAATTACACTGTATGTCAATTATTTCTTAATAAAGCTGCTTTTTAAGAGTTCAGATTTGATGGTGCCATCAAAGCCCAAAATTTTCAAGTTCTTAAATCTTAAAGGACAGGTTACTTATCAGAGTTGGTGACTGTGCTAGGGGCTTCAAATATCTTGTCAATCAATTTTATGGCAATCTTAGCAAGCATATGAGGAAAGTGAGGCATGGATAAGAAACCAGCCCAAAGGAACACTGTACAGCTAAGTCA